GCTCTGAGCCCTCTGGCTGCTCGAGCTGTAAGAAGTTCGTTGCGGAGAATAGGGCAAAGGAGTCTGGAACACAAACCCACTTTCTGCGTTGGCTGCTGAGTGACTGCAGTATGGGGTTGTATTTCTTCTTTCTGCCTCAACAGTTTCCCTGCCAAGTACAATCCCTGTGTCCTCTTGCCATGATTTCTCAGTCCTTGCCTGTACAGGGGATGTTGCACTGGTTTAACATCAATCTGTTTTTAAACTGATTTCGATAAACTGGTGTAAACCTCTGTGTGGACACTCCTTTCAACTTAGTTTAGTTTAGTTTCAAACTAGTTCCTCAGTGTGACTTAGGCCTGGTCTACACACAGTTTTTGAACCAATGTAACTATAAACTGTAGTAGTATAAAGAGCATTAAGGGTACTGTAATGCTTTATTTATATCTGTATAGGTAAAGTGGTGCAATGTGTTATGTGCACAAGTCCTTTAAGCTAAACTGAAATAAGGCACTCTTAAACCAAAATGATTGTGACAGCATAGCCTTCTGCACTCGTTTAAACTTGCACCTTAAAAGAGCTGTACAAATAACAATGTTTTTCCATTCACTGGCACCTATGAAAAAAAATGTTTCAGGTTGAACCAAAATGACATTTTTCAAACATTATGATGAGCCAAAAAGTTACAGCTTCATTGTGGGTCAAGCAAAACATTTCACTGTGAGAAAATCAAAATGTTTCATTTCAGTTTGGGCTATATGAAAACATTTTTGATTGCTTTCTAAATAAAATTGAATGAAATCTTACCAAAAAAATTGTCCTCGACCAAAAAACAAAAAAACAAAAAAAAAATGCTTCATTTAGAACATAGTGATATTAAACATTTCAGTTTTTACAGATTTTTTCCCCCCGTTTGAAACAATTAAGTGAAACTGCCACAAATTCATGAAAAGTTTTTGGTATCACCAAGCCTGCATTTTTCACCAGAAAAAAAGTTTTGGCTGAAACATTTCTCTCAACTCTAATCCTAAATTGAATTGTTGTATTTTCCTCGTGTAAACAAGACATCTAGATTGTTTTTCTACTGCTGCTGGAAATGCCCTTTTGAGGCCCTATAGCCTATCATTCACTCCTGAATCCATTCATTATTCCATTTGGTGCAAATCACCACTCTCCTGAGCAAACCCAGAATGATCTACTTGTACTAGCCAATTAGCCCGTCATAAGACAGGATTTTCAGGTCTCTCCTCCACATCAGTCTTCTCTCCTGAGCCTCTGGTCTCTCGCTCTGTCTCTCTCTCTCTCTCTCCTCCTACTGCCTCCCCGCCCCCAGCTCTCCTCCGCCTCCTGCCTCTCTCTCCGTCTCTTTCTCTTCTCCTCCTCCTGCCTCTCACTCTCCCTTTCTCTTCTCCTCGTCCTCCTTCCTCTCTCTCCCCTCCATCTCTCCCTGCCCCCTTCCCCTTCCCCTTCTGCTGTGGCGCTCTGTGCCACTCAGCTAGGCCCCGGCAGGGGAGCAAGTGGCGGCAAGCGGCTGTTTGGGGTCCGCGCTCCCCATGGATGGGGAGTGCGGACCCCAAATGG